GAAAGAGTGGAATAGGTGGAATAGTGGAAAATACTAGATATCGATTCTGTAATTTAAGTGAGGGTGAAAATCGCAAAAATGAACAAATTTACTAAAAAATTTATAATTTTATTGGTCCAAACCTAGTAAATTCTTTATTTTTGTAATTTTCACTCTTACTTGAATTACAAAATTGATACTCAAGAATCAGAGAAAAAAAAGATAAAGAAGCGGTAGAAAGGAAGGTGTAGAATATAGTGTATGTAGTAGAATAGAGAGGTAGTATGATTATAATAGCGTTTTCGAATGAACGAATTTTAATCCAACCCGAATCAATTAATCACTCTATTTTACTATGAATTTAAATCTTTTATTGGCAGAGACAATGTAATGACGTCATTAATCGCTCTCAGAGCGATTAAACCTGCTACATTCGAAAACGTTATAAGTGTTGGGAAACATCATCCGTGTGCAACACACGTTATAAGTGTTGGGAAATAGAGCGTTGTTCTATCTTTGTTATTTACTAAAAGTTGAATAAAAATAGAACGACGCTCGCGTGCACAAGAGTAATGTTTCCGAACGCAGCCTAATCAGTGCGGTAAGCTAGGGAATTGATAGGGACATGACAGAAGCGGCATAGAGTCGGTAGAGCATAGATAGGAAACAACATGTAATCGATTGTTGACAAGAAATGCTCAACTGTTGAGTCCGCTGAATGCGCCCATTGAAGCTTGAAGCTCGAAGTTGCCTAGGTCTACAATATGGCGTCTTTGCGCTTACGTAAATGCACTCCACTTAACGTTATTTTTGCTTCAAAATATAAGATTCTTCGCCCAGATAGATCAATTAAATATTTCGAAGCGGAAAAAAGTATAAACATAGGCCATAATTTAATGATTTCCGATGTTCTATTGGTCACAATCTCTGATGGCTCCTGTACATATTAGGACCCGACAACGCTTGCGCGGCAAAAGATAACGCAGTAACCAATCAACTTACAACTTTTCCATAAGAGCGGAAGATTGATTGGCTACCGCATCGTCTTTTGCCGCGTCTTGTGTGCAGCAGTCAATATACAGACCGACAAATACTATCTTGATCTCTTCGAGTATTTCGATGTGTATATAAGAATATTTGCTGCATAAGTACTGGTAGCATGATAGCATTTATGAGTAATATATATATATATTTCTTAATATTAATATTAAAATATTTATGCGATTTCATAAATACCCACATATAAAATATGTATATATATATATATATACAAAAAATGTTTGGAGCGCTTTGTGCATCATACGTACATGGTTTTCGCTTGTATGCGTTATCCCCTCCACTACGTTGCGTATCGTCAGGTTGCGTTCCACTTAACGACCGCAACGTTCACGGTATCATTTCATCCTTGTTGTTCACTGAAAGTTAAACAAAGACAGATGATGCTCGCGAGCGTTGCGGTCGTTAAATGGAACGTACCCCTAGAGTCTCCATCTTGGCATCAATGGGTGGGGATTCCACATCCCACGTCGTCCTACCATTGCATCCTACGAATTGACAGTGCTGCTGCTGTTCACACGTCATAAGAGTTGCAAACACGCTGCCGCTCAGACTGTATTTCGGAGCAGTACGTGCCGGATATTAAACGAGTGTGACATTTCGCCTCTACTTGTATCAATATTTCACTGTCTGTTCGTCTTTCTACATTCACTATATTCTCTTGTTTTCACATACGTGGCAGATAAAACAATCTCGATAACATGTGTGGTAAGTATCGAATTTTTCGTACATATCATGCGTAAACACCGCCGTGACTTTCTCCACCGGCTTGACATATAGCAGTTAATGAATGGCGAATTGAATTCGTTATATAGACGTTATGCGATTGTAGATTCTGTCAGGTCACCCGCAAGTGTCGTTATCACATTCTATTCAACTATCATGTTCAGAAAGCTACACAGTGTATACATTTGCGATGAATTTAAGCGGCACAAGTGTAAAACGTATTGCACACGTTTGGTTGCTACACGTCGATATATATACATATAATTATTGTATTGTCAACCGGCATAACGAGCAAAAATAGAATAACGAACAAAAGCTTTAACTTCCTTGAGCACAATACTTCTCTCTCACTTGTGTATTGTATAAAGAATGAATTTCAAAGTTCAAAAAAAGCTAAATTTTAAAAGAGCATTAAATACCATTAACAATATGTTATTATATTTTCTGTTGTTATTACATGAAATTCGTATGTCCATATCCATATGAAATATATTTCATGTAAATTAATATAATTTTATTGCTCTGAACTCATAAACTTTTGTCTAATCTAAGATTTTTTTTAAATTTTCTTAGCATTTAGCTTATCAAAAAGTATTTGCTTTTATTTCCTGTGAGCGGAAAACATATTGAAAATGTATATTTATTGCTCTGTAGATGTTTTATAAAATTAAATTTATCTTACAATTAATATGCTTAGCATCATAAATACTTAGCTCCAGAAATATTTAAATTTTATTGTCTATAATAAAAAAAAATAGTTTTAATAAAATGTTATACAGAGTGAGTCATTAGAAATCGCCACTTTCACTTAAATTCTACAAGAAACCTGTTTAATAGAAAAATCTTTCAGATAAAAGTTGCTCAATTTTGAAAAGAATATCTTGGTTAACATGATTTTATTTTAAATACAGGCACTTTCAGAGATTAGGAAGTCATGTTTGTTTTGCTTTAAACAGAACTGTTTTTTTTTTTTTTTTTTTTACGTAAGTCGCTTCTCCTCATTATTATCATATATATCAATATTAAGATAATTATGAAAAGATTTACGAGGTATTCTATAATTTATTTAAATATATACAGTGATACAAATATAGCTGCAATGAGGACACAGAAGTCTTAATTATTGACATTTTAGATATAACACAGAAAAAGAGAGATATTATTATATTGTGATATAATATTTTATATCAAATAATTCTACTATCTAATAATTATATATTTTGGCCTTCATATTAAAATAATAAAATGTTTGATGAATATAGTATAAATAGAATAGTTTTTTTTTTTACTTTATCTCTTTTAAATTAGTTTACCATGTTAGTAACCAACGCAAAATGCAATTGATAATTGCAATTGATAATCAGGATCGAGACGTTTCCCTAATTTTTTGGTAGATATACCTGCTTACATAGCATCGGTTGATGTTTACATGAATGCAATATTGATTATCACTTGTCTACATTATTTCAAAGTAAATTAAAGATGAGATAATTAATATTCTATAATTGAGTGATTATTCTAATTTATTCAAACAGAATATAAAATATTTATTATCGATATATGTATGTTAAAATGTAAGTATGCTATAATATACTTGTTGATGAGAAGTAGTTTCTGGTTTGATATCAGGAAATGTCGACGACGATCGGTCTGGTCGAGTGAAAGTCTGCTTTTCGTGGTGCGCAAACCTGGGAGAGTGCAGCAATATAGGATAGTTAGCATATGACATTTAGCAGAAATATTCACCTTTCGACGCGGCTCTTTTCTTTTCGATCGTTCCTATCATTTTATTCATCTCGTGAGATCCAACTATTTTGTATAAATTCAGTTTCCAGGTACTCGAGTTTTAAATATTTTCGAAGAAATATACTCGAATATTTAAATCATTATTGAATGTATATCACAAGAGATTAGTAACATATTATAATATATTATACTACGCTTTTTAGCATTGTATGTATGTTTAATACTTTAATATTACGATAATTTTATATTATTATATTTTGATACTTTATTTACTGTGTTTACAAACACAAATATGCTTATTGAATTACGTAAATATTTAAAAAATAATTATAATATTTAAAATATATTCTTTTGCGCTCTTCAGATTCTTTGCGCGATATTGACAGTTTACTTCGCATGCAACTACAAAGATTTATAAAATTTAATATACATTTTATAATTATCTATATAAGATAAAGCAACACAATTTGGAACAATTTTGATAACTTTGTAATTGTGATTTTAGCAAAAAATAAATTCAGATAATTATTACATAATTCAAATAATCATATTATACTATTAAAAATTTTTTATTACTTCAAAGTTGGAAAATCATCTCTTTATCAACGTATTCTTGTATCCTTCTTTGTAAATTTTTAATTGGGGTCTGACATATTTAGAATTTTGAAATTAAACGCCTAACAATCAATAACGACGCCCTAAACACTGACCAACCATTTATATAAAATAATATCGAAGATTTTGGATATATAACATTTGATCAGAAGCAGTGATTAACACTTAATTATATACATTAATCACCAGTAGTAACTGTATAGATGAATGACAAGTCATAAACAAAGGAAGAGAAGATAACAATTATAACATTCAAATTCGATTTTTAGAGAGCGTGTATGACAAAATTCTGTTTAGTTTTCATTTAGACATAACTCTAATGATTTGATTATTATTTTTTATTATGTTTGTCTTTTACTTTAATTAAAAATTTCGGTTTATTATAATTTATATATACATATGGCTGGAGAAACCCAATAAGTGCATAAATGTTCCATTAAATATATTTCCATTATCAAATATATTGTTCAATCACATTTTATGCTTGTAATATATTGTTTTTTTTTATTTTATTGAAGTTATTTGTTTAAAAATTATTTCTTTTTAAATAAGAATAAAATTTTTTTACAACAAAAATTGTAGAGAATATTGGTATAAATTCTGTTAATACTGTTAAATAATATGATTTCTTTATGACTTTTATCTCTGATTTATTATATTTTAAATTTGAAAATCCGTTGTTAACAATTTTTATTAAATTTTACATATGTGAATAATAGGTCTTATGGTTAGTGTAGATATTTTTTGTTGCTTTTACTTTATAAAGATGTTTAAAGTGTTGTTTTTCAACGTAAATAAATATTGTGCAGTGTGAATAAAACTATATATATCATTATCCAAATTTTTTTAAATATTTTGTTATATATTTGAAACTTAAGTAATCTAAATCTATTAAAAACTTAATCGGTTCAATCGTTACTGAGATCTGGTAATCTAAATTAAAGATATTCTCATACAATTCGGCTTTATAGATATTACGGTCTGTCCCGCTGTATGCTGCATGCATTTAGTGCAAGACGCGACTATGTCTTTTGATTTTGCAACACACAAAATTTTGTTTATTTCAATTTTGCATATTTTTTTGAAGTATAAATTGCCAAAAATATATCTAAAATAAAATATAAATGCAAAATAATTGAAGATAATAGAAATACTGGCTGTATTTCTTATCTTTATTCTAATAAATTGTAATTATATTCTAATAAAGTGTATTATGTTTATTATTTAATAAATATACAGAATGAGGTATGCAAAGTTTATTTATGAAATTAATTATTCTTTTGATATTCTTTTATAAGCAACAATGATTGTACGCAGGATTTATTTACAAAATATATGGACAGTAAAAAACAGAATATTAAAATATAAATTTAAGTTAATCGAATAGTTATGGATAATCTATTCTTAAAAACAAGATTGCATTTATAATTTTCTGCATCTTGCGTATTCTTTACATATAGCTTATACTTCTACGTCTGTGATTTTATTTGGTAAATTAGCATGTTAATAAAAATAGAATGAAAAAATGATTTCTTTCTTTGCGAGTCTTTTGCATTCCTGAATAGATCGAATTCCTTACTTTTCTGTGTTCTGTAGTGAATGCAACCTTCGAAAACGAAAGGCAATATAAACTAAAACTAAAAACAAAAAAAAAACAAAAAAAAATTTGAATAAATTAGCAGATGTTCAGTTTCTCAATGATAATTGAATACGATCATATTTTTATCAAGTATATATCGACAATTCGAGTAATAAATTATGTATCTTTGGATTTTCAGGAATTTTCGCTTATCTGAACTATATGACGCCGAAGAACAGGAAGGAAATTTTGGAGCTACTAGTTGTTGGTCTGAAAAGATTAGAATATCGCGGATATGATTCTGCAGGTAAAATGGTATCTTTAATCGTAAAAGTTTTTTTTCACGTAAAATTACATATACATTTGCGAAAAGCGAGGGAAAATATAAAACAGTATTGTGAATAGTAGTAAAAGAATTTTGATATACAATATATCTTTCTTATATTAGCAAATAAAATGAACAAAAAAATATTATTAATTTATAAAGTTTAAAAAATATTTGAAAATTATTAATAATACTTTCCATGATCTTTTCTTATTTTATGTGTTATGAAGAAAGTATGAAATAACGATCTTCCCATGTTTCACTCTCAAAAATACAAGAATGTAAAAAGCAATTTCAAATGACGTGTAAGTCATCGAATATATCTACTGTAGTAAAAAAAGTAGTATTAAATTCCGATTGTATTTGATTCGGCTACTTTGCTCTTTTTATCCAGTTCTCGTCTTGATTAGCAAACCTGTTTCTAACAAAGAGAGAAGGGAAAAGTTGTTTCGTGCTCGCGCAAGCTAATAAATAAATAAATAAAGCGACACGATATATTGGTCATAGAAAGTTTTTTACGAAGTGTTCTTTTGCAGGCGTCGCCGTCGATAGCGCGGATGGCAAGGACATGTCGATTATCAAGAAGCAGGGAAAAGTTAAGGCTCTTGAGGAAGAGATATTTTGCCGTAAGTGTTGGCTGCAACTTCAGACTGGGAGACTATTTCGCGTATTTTTTCTATTTATTTTTGTTATTGTCATGGAAAAAGAGAGACACGCGTATATCAAATCGGGCGCAATGTAAAATCTTTAATGTTTATTCGCAGGTACCAATCTAGATTTCGAATCGGAAGTTCAGTGCCATGTCGGTATCGCTCACACGCGATGGGCGACTCATGGTGTGCCATCAGAGGTGAATGCTCATCCTCAACGCTCCGATAGTGAGCATGCCTTTGTCGTTGTTCATAATGGTAATATTCTTATATCGTAATATAAGATCTTGTTTTAAACAAAAAAATGCATAAATAGATGAAAAGCTAGGCGCGTATAAAAAAATAATCGCTCCTTTTAAAACATGAGATTGTCTTTCACCTTGTGGAGCAAAATTGCAAAAGAGAATAGAATTTTCTATTCAAAATTATGCGGTTTGTAG